GAAATCTCCGCCCTGGGTTTGAACTGGTCCACGAAGTCTGCATCCGTGCTAACTTCCCACAATGACACCATTGGGCATGCCTTGCTTCTCCTGTTTCCATCTATTCTTCAATTCAGTGTGTATTCACAGAGAGAACAACCAGCTGAACCTCCAAAATTGTGCGACCCAATTCCCCCTTTTCTCCCAAATTGTGCGACCCCCTTCCCCCTTTCCCAAATCCGAACTCCACTCAAAGATTCATAAACCCTAATCTTCTACTCCAAAATCTCCCAATTTTGAACTCTACCTCAGAGTTTTATCAACCCGTGATTTCATCTCTACATTCTCCCAAATTTCGAACCCCACCACAGATTTTGGTAAGCCCTAGCCTCCTTCTCCAAATTCTCCCTTTTCACCCAAATATCCTATTTCCTCTCTTCATCTGAAAGTGAAAAAGTCCTTATTCGCAGAGGTTAAAGATTAAAACGAAGTGGAGCCCAAACGTTGTAACGGACCGTCAATAATCCTGACGGAAAGGGTAACGTGAGACCATTTTTTAAAGGTTGGGGGGTACTTTGAGACGTTTTAAAACCCGGATGGTAATTTGAGACAAGTTTCAAAGCACAGGGGGCATGTAGCTAAATAAGCCTTATTTATATATAAAAAATAGGTACATCATTTATATATGAAAAACAGGAACATTATTTATTAGGAAGATTGGAACATTATCTATTAAAAATAATAGGTACATTATCTCTTCAATTGGAGGTTTGAAAACCGACAACATAGGTTGGCTAGCCTAGCTATATCTTTAGCTAATATGACTTCATGGGTGCAGGAACCTCGGTGCTCATCCAACACGTGAAGACCTTTAGTAAGGGGAGTCTTTTGTTGTACTGTTCTTGTCTTGTTGAATAAAATCCTTTTTCTTATTTCATCAACAAAAAAGAATCCCTTTTCTCTTCAGCAAAAAATAATAATTTCCTTTTTCTCAAATAAAAAATAAAAAATCGACAACATAAGGAAAGTTGAAAGAAAATCAATTGAGCCTTTACCACTTCTAAAGTGTTGATTAGGGGTACTTTTGGAATCTTAATCTATAATAAATAGTATTTTAAGTTTAATTAGGTAAGTTGCTCAGTTAGATCCTAACTGTTGAATTTTACTCATAAAAAAAATAAACTTATGGATTGTATATAAGAAAAATATAATTTTAAGGGGAAACTCCAAATTTACTTTTGAAAAAAGTGCGTATTATACATTATTTTCATAGAAACTAGAAACCTCCGCACATGCGTAAGTAAGGGAAGTTGCTCAGAGAAAAGAAAGAGAGAAAAAATAGGTTGTGGGAGAGAAAAACTTTAGTAAAAGAAATTGAAAGTTAGTAACCATATTATCCTTTCATTTTAAATATAATATTTGACGTGCAAATAAGCATGATGAGTCATTTGCCTCGATAATTGTTCCATTTTTCCGATCCCCTGCTTCCACTTGAGTTGAGACCTCGAGAAGCACATTGTTGATGATCATGCGGGCGGAAGGACTGGTGGAGCTTTTTTCAGTGGATGTTGGATAATTGAAAGATTGATGTTGCAGGTTGGGCCCATTTCTTGATTCTTCTTGCAATTTGTCTATTTTCCTCTCATGTCCTGTCGTCCACTATTGATTTTCTTGATCTTGAAAGTGGAGTCTGATAAATAAAGTTAAAGTGGTGCTTGAATTTATGCTTTTTCTTGTGGCAAGTATACAGAAGTTTTAAAGGTCATGCCTATTTTACTTTTTATCCGGTCTTTTCTCAAGCTTTATCATGTTTCTTTTATCTTTAGTTGTGTCAAGCTGCAATCAATAGAAACATGAAAGGGAGTGATCTTTGCATCAAAATGAAAGCAATCCACTGCCTTGATGGACCGCATTATGTGAGAAACTCCTGTCATTAGCATCATATAACTCGTTGGTTAATTTTATGATACTAATAAGTTTAAATTTTTTAAGATTAGTGATTATCTTACCTGATATAGTATCATGTTTGTTCATTTTATAATCCTAATAAGTTTAAGGGTCAGTTTGGCATTGTTGTACTTCAGTGGCGTGTTGAAGAAAAAATGTGAACCTCCCAACATAATTTCACCACTACTATTTAAACAATGTGGTTTTATTATTTTAGGTTCAACCCATTTTTCCAAGACACGCCTATAATTTTTCTTTTCATCTGCAGAGATTCTGGATTTCTCACCCATATGGATTTTTACTTTCAAATAATTTCGAGGTTACTCGCCCATGGATTTGCATCCAAATGATTATGGGTTTCTCACCCATGATTTTGTGGCATGCTATGCCTAACACAGAAAAGAAAATGGAGATGATAGTATACCTGTAGCAATTTTTTCCTCTTCTCTACCCTGCTGTAATTTCACCAGTTGTCTTTTTCTTTTTCTTTTTCTGTTGTAGCCTTTTTATAAGCCAACTGGATAAGCCTCCCTTCAACACTTTTGAATTTCAAATAAGTGCTGATAGGATTCAGCCTCATTTTTAGGCCTACTATCTTTTATATCCACCATTTTGAAACACAACACATATCCCAAAATTTGGGGAACACATGTTGGCTTGCATTTATCTTTTGTTTTTTTTTTTTTGAAAAATGATATAATTTACTTTGATGATATTTTTTTTTTATCTCAACATGGCGGAGCTATGATTTCATGAATCATGTGTGAGGGGACCTCTCACAAAATATAAATAATAAACAATTGGGCTTCTTAGATCTAGATTCAAAATGATTAGTTGTTATTGGGTTTAGTCCACACGTTTTTGGTTTTTAGATGTAGGTCCTTTGACATTTATTTCTTTTTTGTTGCGTCGATTTTACCATTTGAAGTAACTGCATAATTTCCTTGTAATTTAATTTCAGAAATTAAATTTTGAATTCTTTCCTTGATAATATTTACCTAATTTAATCAATGATAAGTAAAGACTCACATATTATACCAATCGATTAGGCATGCACCCACATGAATTTATGTAACTGACATACATGTAAATAGTGTTATGATTAGCAACAAAAAAATTTAGTAATAAATCGTGTTACCTATAAGTTAGGAACATTAATTAGAAGACTACCTATTAGTCAGATACAAAAATAGACAAATAAAATTGTATGTTACCTATATAAAAAATGGTACATAAAATACTATTACATATTGTCAAAAATATGAAAAAACACATATATATATACCTATGTAATAGGCAATGGAATAATATATCTACAAGAATATATAATACTATATCTACAGGAACAAAGTGAATCTCATTTCTGTATAACACGACTAGTGGCCTGGTTAGAAACAATCAGTCGCTTTGGTTTTCTTCCGAGACTTAAGCTCACTGTGAAAAACGACCGGTCGCCTGGTTAGAAACGACCGGTCGCTTCTCCCCTGCTTTGTCATTTCTTTTCTCTTTTCTTGTTTCATTCCTTGTCCGGTTTATATAATATCATTACGATTGTGTTAAATTTAGTGCTATTAACATACTCAAACTAGATTTGCATATAAACTATCAAGTCCTCAAGGGAACAATCTCTTATTTACATATCCATACTCCAATGGATTCGTACACTCACGAATATTTTTATTTAGGTAGTTAGCAAATTAATTTTACGCTGTTATCGATACAACACACTCCCAATGGTACTTCGGCCCCAGTTGTTGGACAGGGATCTATGTCTCATACTAATACTTTGAAATTAGATTTTGTATTGGTTCTCCCCTCTTTGGATTATAATCTCTTATCGGTTGCTCAACTAACTACTGATTTATACTCTATTGTGATTTTTTGCCAAACTTTTGTGTGTTTAAGGACATCCAAATGAGACAAACGATTAGTTGTGGTGTTAGGCAAAGGAAGTTGTATTACTTAGATTTGGTGTCAAATAGTTCAAATAAGTTGCGTCTGGTTTTGACTGTGAACGGTTCTGAGGGGGGAGAAGAGGAAGTCTAATATATGGCTATGGCATCGACATTTGGGGCATACTTCCTTTGGCTACCTGTAGAAAAATATTTTCATTCATTGTTTTCCAGAATTGATATTACTAGTTTTCATTGTGAGGTTTGTGAACTCGCTGAAAGTCATCGTACTTCTTTTCCATCAAGTGCCAAAAAAAAAAATCAGTTCCTTTTATAATAATTCATTCTACTGTTTCGGATCCCTCTCCAGTTCCTCCATCGGATGGAGCATGTTAGTTTGTTACATTTATTGATGACTGTACCAGGATGACCTGGGTACGCCTAATGAAGTCCAAAGAAGAAGTGACTTTTTATTTCATAAATTATATGCAATGATTCTTACTCAATACAAAGCACAAGTTCAAGTCCTCTGCAGTGATAATGGAGAAGAATATATGAGTTTTGTTTTCCAAATTTGTTGGTAATTTAGGCATGTGTGATATCTATGCACCAACTTGAGGGGGAGTGTTGCGATAATTATGGAATTAGTAGAAAATTAGGAGACATTCTAGCTTACCTTATTTATCTTCCTGTAATTACACTATTAGGGTTGTATATACGCCTTGTTGATGACTGAAAGAAAGCATGAAGAATTATTCCCAAATGGAAGAACTATAACATTGGCATCAATCGAAATCTTGAACAAACTGAGAGGCAATGGTTTTCATATTCTGCTGATGCTAAGACAAAACATATTTATATGACATAAAAATGTACTACCGTACATATCCTGCATGTAGCAATATTACCTAACATGGTAGGAGAGTTATGGTTCCGGAGATCGTGAGTTTGAATTCTCTAAACTGTCACTTGATAGCATGGAAAAGCTTTAGCCTTAATTATGCTATATTGTATATTCTCGCATACGATTTTCAAGTCCACAATTCCCGCTACGATACTATCTCCTTAGTGCTCAGTTCTTGAAGATAATATATTTTTCTACAGTTTTTTATTTATTCATAGTCGGATTCCTTGCTGGAATTCATGGATTTTAATTATTAATTATTAATTTATTATAGGTTTTAGCTCCATCCATCCAAAGTACAAACAAACCCATGTGCTAATTAATATAAAAAGAAAACGAATCTTCTACTTCTCGCTGCACCGTCCTTTTGTCTTTTTTACATTTTAACCATATTTTTATTACCATAATGTTTCAAGATAATTCATTACAGGATCTAAAACTAAAATTGCCTCAGTTGCCCTTTCTTCTCTTTCTTTTTTATGACCAAAAAGAGAAGAACTTTTGTTTCTACTTTGGTGTTTTCCAAGCTTTATTCGTCATATTGGTCATATTGAGACCATGAGAAGCACAATATTGGTCATAATGAGGAACTTTTGTTTCTAATGATATAATTGTCTATGCTTTTTATTCTTTTCATGATTACAAAAGTTGAAAGATGATAAGTACGTCGGGTCTTTCTCAAGCTTTATCATGTTCTTTGGTCCTGTCAAGCTGCAATTATTTGAAGGGATGTGTCTTGCGGGACCTTATTTTGTTAGAACTTTACATTTTTATTGGTTGTGGCATAATGGCACTGCTCGATCTCTGGCGATGAGGGAACTGTTCAACTATGGGTTCAATTGAAGGTTGAGTTGTGCTTGGTTGACAAATGAAAGGGGATTGACTCCCGTGAGATTACTTAGCCCAACCGGTTGTTTGTGTAGGTGTGCCATTATTGGAATTGAAACCAGCCCAATTGAACTAATGTATGTGGTGTAGAATACCTTGTGGTATGGCTTTGCACTGCTCTTGACTCCTTATCAAGCTATTGTGCTTCGAGAGGTGTACTGGCTCAGATAGGTTCTTTTCTATGCCTCAGTTAAGAGGACTTTACTATTCTTTCAATCTTGCATTTGTGACTTGGAAGATACGAATGGTACCTAGCCAAAATAGAAAAACCAATGTTATGGTTAATGCTTCCTTGATTGGGCTCAAAAACCTATATTAGGCACAAGATAACCCTAGATTGGGGTTAATATTTAATGAAATCAGTCCTAAGATTATAATTCGAGCCTATGGGAACCCAAATGGGCCCACGTAGACGCCTTGTTTTTGGGGCCAAAATGCCTTGGATTGGACCTAAAAACCCTATTCGAGCCTGTCCAGCAATAAACATTTATAATACTTGTAAAATAAATGGCAAATAAAGTAGATTATTGAAATGTAAATGACATTAAAATAAAACTCTCAAGACTAGAGTTTTCTCTATCTAATACGAATATTTAAACAAAATGGCTAAAGATTTCTCAATTTAGCCGTTAATGTCAAATGGTTATCTTGGAGGCGAGAAGGCTTTTTAAAATCTTGAAGGTCATTCAAGTATTTTAGAGATGTTGCGTTTGAATTTGGAGAGAGAGTCCTGGAGCTGATGATTTCTCCCTCTATTTATAGGCTTCTTGGGTCTTCTAACCGGCACGGGATCAAATGAGTTTTGATAAGGACCTGCTGGTTAATGAATTGCAAGGGAAGAAAAATAGGGCCTCGAGTGCTTCGATCCTTGGGTTACTCGGGGACTGCTTGATGGTGGCTGTTGGGCGGCTCCTGCGGTCCAAATCACATTTAATGCGGTTGCTAGATCATCTGAAATTTTCCAGTTGCCGAAGTTGCCATCTGGTCCTTTGTTTGAGTCTTCGCGCTTTTGTTTGGGTGATAGCATGTTTGGAAGTTTTCCAGTCGCCGAAGTTGCCATTTGGTCCTAATTGTTTCATTTCAACCTTTTCACCAATCCATGTGTATTATTTAAAAAAAGACTATTGAGTTCCTGGCTTTGGTGTGGGCTCGGGCCGAAATAGATAAACAAGAAATGGGCTTAGTATTTAAACTAAGATGTGGCCCGATTGCAAAATTAAAAGCCCTTTTATCTTTTACAGGGATTGAATGGGCCCGATATAAGAAATATATATAATGTCAAATTAAAAAAAGATATTAAAAATGTTACTCATCTTCTTTTGAATTTCAGAAGCAAAACCATAACCTTTGAGCTTAAGCTTTTCTTATATGTCTTGGCTTCACCCAAATCAATATAATCTCTCAGTAGATTGTGAAGGTGTTTGGCTCAGAAGAATTCTTGCAGATTTGCAGCAGGAGATCAAGTCTCCAAGACAACATATATTGTGAGTGACAATATGTCTGCAATTGCAATGACAAAAAATCTAGTCTTTCACAGCATGACTATAAAAGGAAACTACCTTTGAAACAGAGAAGATAACAGAGTTTTTTTTTTTTTTTTTTGGGTCTAGTTTTTGTCAGTCTATGTTTTGAGCTTTTATTAAAGAGTTAATAAATTAGGGAAATGCATCTTAGATCTCAGAAACCTGGCATCAAATTTCGCTGCATTTTTGTGGGACTTTCCTTAAATTATGGGCTCCTAGATTTATGAATTTTGGGGGGTGATCTCATTCCATTCTTCTAGTCTTTGATATGGAAGGTTATTATTCTATGATGATATGGATTACTTATGGAAAGTTAGTTCCATTTTAGTAAGCTCAAATTCCAATTATAGTTAAGTCTCTATTTTTTTTTTTTGTGTTTTCTTGGTTGTTTTGGCATACCATTCTCTTTTGAATTAATTGAGCATAAATTACAGACACAAATGTACAAAGAATGCTTTTGACATTGTTAATTTAGTGATCTGGATTTAGAATCATTGAATCAAATGCTAGCTTTGTTTCAAATTTAGGCAGAACTGGTTCTGGGTTAAACTTCTTATGCTTGTTTGTCTCCCCCATATGACAATGGCAAAACTTTCATGTAGTATAGGGGATGAAAAAACACATCCCACTAATATTAGTAAATTCTTTCTTTTCATGCAGGAAGGACGGGAATTATAAACGAACTGTGATTGCATGCTTCATACAAGCAATATATTTGCTTGAACTCGATAGACAAGAGAATAGAGATGAAACAAATGCTCTAGCTCCTAAGTGGTGGATACCTTTTAAGTATAAACTATCGCAAACCTTAATCGATGAAAGAGATGGATCCATATTTGGGGCAATTTTGGAATGGGATCGGTCTGCAGCACTTGCTGACTTTGTACTTATCAGACCAAGTGGTGCACCAAAGGCGGTTTTAGCACTTAGAGGAACATTGCTCAAAGGCCCAACTATGCGAAGGGATATTGAAGACGACCTTCGTTTTCTTGCTTGGGAGAGCTTAAAGGGTTCTGTTAGGTTCAAAGCAGCTATGGAGGCTCTGAAATCAGTTGCTGAAAGGTATGGAAGCAGTAATGTATGTATTGCGGGACACTCATTGGGGGCTGGATGTATGTGGAAACTCATTTGTTCAATCCGCCTTCCGTTTCGCTAGCAATGAGCTTCAGAAATATTGGAGAGAAAGCAGGATTTGCTTGGAAGAGATTGAAGTCAATGCTCCCTTTGAGAAGTGGAGCTCAGATCAGCAGTGAAGAGGGAGATAGGACTTCTGGTTTTGGACTGAAGAATTGGATGCCAAATTTTTCGGGTTTGAAGAATCCTGGTATGGGTTTGGGAAAATGGGTTCCTCATTTGTACGTAAATAACAGTGACTACATCTGCTGTTCTTATACTGAGCATGATGGAGCAGAAGTAAACAATGCTGACAAGGAGAATGTGTTAGCGAGATATCCCTATTCTATTAGGATATTGTTTTGTTTATTTCTTTTTGTATAGATATTATGTAATTAGGATACCACTTATTTTCCTAGTTTAAACCTATTAGGGTTTGCAACCTGTATTATAAATACCTCCTTTCGGAGTATGAAATATATCTGAAAATATTCTACCATATTATTTGACTTGGTATCAGAGCCAGGTTTCTGGTGACCTGTGTGTGTTGTGCCCACCCATGTTCTACTTTGTGCCCTAATTTCTTTTTAGGGTTCTTGTGCCTGTGCCTGTGCTGTGTTTATCGTATCTGCTTCGTGTTGTGTTTGTTTCCGCTGCTATCATGGGTGATGATTCCATAATTGTGACTGGTACTAGTGCGTCTACACCGAAGGAGGCACGTCCCTCGCGTGATTACTCTACCCCGCTTACATCTGACAAATTGGATGGCTCCAATTATGCCTCTTGGTCTCGTGGTGCGCGTATTACGATTACTAGTCGTCGTATGGCAAGTTGGATCAATGGGAAGAAGCCTGCTCCGTCTCAAGATTCTACTGCCTATGCCGAATGGGAAGAAGATAATTGTCTGGTGCAGTCATGGCTTCTCAATTCCATTACTAAACCAGTTCGTGCCTTGTTCGAACATGGTGATACTGCTTTTTATATATGGGAGGCTGCTCAGAAGACCTATACTGTGACTCAGAATAGTTCTCGTTTGTTTCAACTCCGACGGCAATCTATACTTATAGGTCAGAATGGTGAATCCGTGAAAGTGTTCTATGAAAAACTTCATGCTATCTGGCAAGAGATTGATTGTCTACGTCCGAATGAGTTTAGTTGTTCTGCTGATGGGGCTCGTCGTCTGAAAGAAATTGAAGCCGATCGAGTTTATGATTTTCTTGGCGGGCTTGATCCACCGTATGATGGTGTTCGTAGCCGTATTCTTGCTCTTAGTCCTATTCCCCCTCCTCTCGAAGCGTATGTCATGGTCATGGAGGAAGATACTCGTCAATCCGCTATGCTTGGAGGAGGATCGATGGCTCTCAAGGTTGACCCAGCACGTCACCGACCGGTCAGCCAGCACGACGCGACCGGTCGCGCTCCGTCTAGGAAGTTTGGATCTTCTGCTGGATCTCGTCCTTCTGCCCCTACCTCTACCGCTCTTGAAGGTCCGCTTAAGTGCCACCATTACTCCGAGAAGTGTTTTAAGGAGCATGGTTGTCCTGATTGGTTTGCTAACTACAAAGCTCGTATGTATGGCCCCAAGGCCACTTACACTGTGACTCCTGATGAGGCCCATCCTCCAGCTCCATTTGCAAATCTGTGTGCTTCTGATACTATGGCAGGTATGGGTTCTACTATATGGATAATTGACACTGGTGCTTCTGATCATATGACTTATAATGATAATATGTTTGATGAGTTGTCGCATAACCCCCGTAACCCCTATATTACTAGTGCTAATGGCTTACCTTCCCCAATTACTGGTGAAGGTATCATCCATCTCACCCCTTCTTTACCTCTGTCTCATGCCCTATTGGTTCCCAATATTCATTGCAATTTGTTATCCGCTGGGCGTTTACTTGATACACTTAACGCTTCTGCTACCTTCTATTCTACCCATTGTTTTTTTCCAGGATCTCAGGACTCACGAGAAGATTGGGCATGGTAAACGGATAGGGGGCTTATATTATTTACAGTTGCCGGCTGCAGCAGTTCGTGATTGTGTCGCTAATAAAGCTCTGAGTGGCAGTGTCAAGGACAAGCAACAACTTTGGTTATGGCATCGTCGCTTAGGACATCCGTCGATTGGTTATCTTAGACATTTGTTTCCTTCATTATTTAGTTCGTGTGATGAGTTTAGTTTCAAATGTGAGACTTGTGTAATGGCCAAGAGCCACTGTACTGTTTTTCCCTTAAGTAATAATAAAGCTGCTTTGCCTTTTGAGTTAGTACATTCTGATGTCTGGGGTCTTGCTCATGTGACTTCTCATGGTTTCCGTTGGTTTGTGACGTTTATTGATGACTGCACTCGCGTAACATGGGTGTATTTGATGAAGGATAAACATGATGTTGCCTCTATTCTTCCTGACTTTTATGCCATGGTGTCTACTCAGTTCCATGCTCGTGTTAAAGTATTTCGCACTGATAATGGCGGTGAATATGTGAATCATACCTTGGCCCAATTCTTTCGTGATCAAGGTATCATTCATCAAACTACCACTCCATTCACACCTCAACAGAATGGTGTGTCTGAAAGGAAGAATTGCCAGTTACTTGAAGTTGCTCGCTCTCTGGTGTTGGATATGTCAGCCTATTCCTAACAACTAAAATGAGTTATTAAAAATAGAAACTTCAATTCTCGCAAGTGCACGAACCATTTATAGTATAGCTTATGAAATACGAGGTCGATCCCACGGAGAATGGTAACTTGGTTGCAAGTTAAACTACTTAGAATGATGGAAAAACTGAAAACAAAGAAACAAACTAACTAACAATTGGCAAGGTCTAGGACAGATGCGTCTGCATTGGTTATTCTACTACTCAGAATGGTTATAAGTGTTATCACCCGCCTACTCAGAAGGTACATGTCACTTTGGATGTTACATTTCATGAAGAAATACCCTATTATGTTTCTCCCTTCTCTTCAATTCAGAGGGAGAGGGGGAGTGAATTGAAGAGTTTCGGAGTGGAAAATATGGAAGATTTTGGACCTGAAGAACAAATTTCTGGCGAACAGGAAGCGACCGGTCACAGGGAAGAAGCGACTGGTCGCGAACGAATCTGTGATAAAAACGACCGGTCGCACATAAGACGCGACCGGTCGCCTGCCTCGACAAAGGACAACAGTACCAATATGATCGAAGCGACCGGTCGCGAACGAATCTGCCCAGGAAACAACCGGTCGCACATAGGAAGAGACCGGTCTCTCACGTCGACGAGCGACAACAGTACCGATACGAGTGACGCGACCGGTCGCCTGGAAAGCCACGATCGATCGCCAAACGAAATTTTTGTTGTTTTCGAGCCTCTCTCAGAAGGACATAACAGTGATATTAGTGACTCTCGTACATATGAAATTGATAATAGACCCCCCTTTGTCCTGCCATTGCCTCAATCAAGTTGTGATAATGAGGTACTTTCTAATGATATGCCTACCTATTCTTTGCCCCCACGTACAACCTGTGGGAAACCTAAAGTGCAATATTCTCCTGATATACATGCCAAGTCTAAATATCCCATTAACCATTATATGCCAACTCATCGTTTATCTAAGTCATATGCATCATATTTGTGTCAATTATCTAGTGTATGTGTGCCAACTAAGTTGCAGAATGCTCTATCTAATCAAAATTGGGTAGATGCAATGCATGTTGAGATGGAAGCCTTGAACAAAAATGCTACTTGGGAGTTAGTTCCTTTACCAAAAGGAAAAAAGGCAGTTGGGTGCAGATGGGTGTTTACTTTGAAGCACAAGGCTGATGGTTTCATTGACCGTTACAAGGCAAGATTGGTAACAAAAGGGTATACTCAGACATATGGAGTGGATTACACAGAGACTTTTGCTCCAGTAGCTAAGCTCAACACTGTACGCGTACTCTTATCCTTAGCTGCTAACCGTGACTGGCCGCTACTACAATTTGATGTCAAAAATGCATTCCTCCATGGTAACCTCAAGGAAGAAATATATATGGATCCTCCGCCGGGTATCCCTGTGACCTCTAAGGAGGGTGTGGTGTGCAAGCTACGGAAATCCTTGTATGGATTAAAGCAGTCTCCAAGAGCGTGGTTTGGAAGATTTGCTGCATCCATGAAGAAGTTTGGGTATGTGCAAAGTAACTCTGATCATACTTTGTTTCTGAAGCGTCATAAAGGTAAATTGACGACTTTAATTATTTATGTTGATGATATGATTGTGACTGGAGATGATCATGTAGAAATACAGAGTCTTCAAAAGTATCTAGCTTTCGAGTTCGAGATGAAATCATTGAGTGATTTAAAGTATTTTCTTGGGATTGAAGTTGGCAGATCTAAACATGGTATTTTTCTATCCCAAAGAAAGTATATTTTGGATTTACTTGCAGAAACTGGAATGTTGGATTGTAAACCGATTGATACCCCTAGTGAGCAGAATCATAAGTTGGGGATATATCCCGATCAAGTTCCGGCTGATAAAGAACGTTATCAACGACTTGTGGGGAAGTTGATTTATTTAGCTCATATCCGTCCGGACATTGCGTATGCTGTAAATATAGTGAGTCAGTTTATGTACTCTCCTAATGTAGATCATATGGGGGCTGTGACTCGTATTTTAAGGTATCTGAAAGTAACTCCTGGCAAGGGGTTAATTTTCTCCAAGTATGGCCATACGAATGTAGAAGGGTATACAGATGCTGATTGGGCAGGTTCAGCCACAGATAGGCGTTCGACATCTGGGTATTTTATGTTTGTGGGTGGCAATCTTGTCACGTGGAGGAGCAAAAAACAAAAGGTGGTGTCTAGATCTAGTGCTGAGGCCGAGTATCGGGGAATGGCTCATGGTGTATCTGAGTTACTATGGTTGAGGAGATTGTTGAAAGACCTTGGTTTTGGGCCTAATAAACCCATGGATTTATATTGTGACAATACGGCTGCGATTGCAATTGCTTATAACCCTGTACAACATGACCGTACAAAGCATGTGGAGGTTGATCGAAATTTCATTAAAGAAAAATTGGATGCGGAGATTGTGTCCTTTCCTTTCATCCGTTCAAAGTATCAATTAGCTGATGTTCTTACGAAAGCTGTTTCTACAAGTATCTTTCTCAACTCGCTTGACAAGTTGGGCATACGTGACGTCTTTGCTCCAACTTGAGGGGGAGTGTTAGCGAGATATCTGTTCGGTTCATTTTTACACATGGTTTATCATGTTATTCACCCATTATTTTGAGTTAGTTTTTGACATTTTATCGCTTTTTACTTCCTTTTTGTGTTTTCATAGGTTTTACCTTGGTTAGAATGAAAATGAGCTAAAAGTGCATTATTGGTTATAAATTCTGATTTTGTTCATTTTCGTAGGTCAACTTCTTGGCCTGGGATCAACATGCTCTGGTGCTCGGATGAGGTGAAGATCTTCATGAAACTTGTTCCAATGGATGCTAACTACAACATATCCAAATTTGAGCTCCATTGGACAAGTATTGCCTATCCAACCAATCCAGCATGTTACCACAGCTCTGGAAATCCGAATTTGGTCAGCTTTTACCTCCTTTGTGTCATCTTGATTCTTCTTGTTACCATAACTCTTGGTAACAAGAAATTACCTTTGTAAATGAGATATTTTCTGAAGCATTTGGCATCTTTGTGAAGTCAAGACTTCATCATGGCAAAGGGGACAAGGGCAAAGGCTTTAAGGAAAGTATGAGTTTTATATTATATTTGTGAGCTGGAAATTGATGGGCAATGGAAAGTTAATTGCAATCTGAAGTGGGAGAGGTTTTGAACGTGGGCAATCAATTCATTTTATGATTCTACACATTGAGAGCAGATTTTTGGAGAGCTTGGAGCTAGGAGAAAGCCAAGGTGCAGCCAAGCAAAGTGGAGAAGAAAGCTTCCACCATTGATGACCTTGAAGCTTTCATCATTTTCTCAAAATCTGTAAACTCTTTCTAATTTTATTTTGAGTTTGTATTTGGAATAAGTATGAGCAACTAAACTCCATAGCTAGGGCTTAGGTTGAAGCCCTAAACATGATTACCTTATCGTTTTGATGCTTGAGTGTATGAATTTCTAGATATTGTTGATGAATTCCAATTCACCAAATTAATCTATCCTTGATGTGTGTTTTTCCTTGGTTGGCCATCTTTGAAAGCATGCTTCTTGAGATTGTTGGGATTATGTGTATCTTCATGTTATCCTAAGCAATAAATGGATGAAGTAAGAATCATCCATGTGAATTGGTTTCTTGAATACCTAATGTAAACACCATGCTATTAGGATTCTTGTGATGTTCATATTCTCATTGAACTTAATGGGTTCTCCTTGTAATTGAATCGAAGTACGAACCATACCTAGGTTCGGTTATAAGGAGAGCACAAGTATTGTAGCACGAACCATGCACTTTACATA